ATAATTCTTATTTGAAAACTGTATAAAATCACAGTGCTGACACTGAAAGGAGTCTCAGAAATTATAGTTGGGAAAATAGTCCCACAAAAGAGAAAACAGCTTATCTAAGGTTGGACAGCAATTTAGGAAGAAGTGTCCTATCAGAGCAAAGGTCTTATAGTTTTCACTCCATTTGTCATTCTAGTATTCTACACTGAAATCTCTTAAATATTGTGTGGTAAAAGCTCCTTATTCCTTTAGTTCCTTCAACTGATACTTAGGGAAGGAAGCCATGTCTGCAGAGGCTAAGTCAAGGTACTTAGGGAAGGAAGCTGTGTCTGGCCAATGGCCTACTCCTAACAGATTACCATACAAATCCCTTTATTACAAGGATCTGTTCTGTAAAATTTGCATGCAGTCAAAAGGCTGCACTCAAGGATCCAGAAGGCCACAAGTGACCCCAAGCCTGCAGGTTCCCCGCCCTTGAGTGAAACACCATTTCCAATGAGCTTCCAGGAAATGCTAATCCTGCAAATACTTGAACCACGCTTTAAGTATCAATAAACTTGCTCATGAAGAAACAATTATAATGTAATGTGGCACATTGCCATACAGAGATGAGTCCAGTATGCCATGGGAACATAGGCATGGAGGTACCTGTGACAGCTGTCAACATGGACTTAGTGAATGAGGGACGTACATGGCAGCAGTAGACAAGGCTGAAACCATGGACTAGAACTCTCTCTCTCTCTCTCTCCCTCTTTCTGACACACACACACACAGAGAGGGAAAGACAGTAGACATAAAGTTCATGTGCAATTTAAAATAGTTTAACATAGTAAATTGCACACGAAGTTTATGGACACCAGATATGGAGGGCCTTAAATGCCAGGGCAGGAAGGAATTCAAGACTTAGTTATGAATGCCTTGTCACTTTTGCTGAGTGTGATTTTTTTCCTTTATCAGTAGTGTCAGGAAAAATTTACGATAATAATAATAACTGATCATTGTACAGCACTACAGTGCCATATATAGTAGCTCATTTGAACGTTACAACCATGCTTTGGTGTAGATTATTGTCTGTTCTACCTGTTAGGTTCTTATTATTTTCTTTTTCAAGATTAAAAAACGAAAACAGCAAGAAAGGTTATCTGTGTATTTAGAAGTAATTTTTGTCCGCTCCAGGGCAGCTGTTATTCTAATTCACTCAGTGTAAACCAAAGAAAGGATCCATAATCTTGCGATTTTTATTTTCTATCATTTTTATATTTTCTATATACTTATGCTATTACACTAAATAATAAAGTGTTCACTTGCTCATACCCCTCCCTATGCTGTCTAGGATACAGTAAGTGTTTCATGAGTGGCTGTATTTTCTCATTCTCCTTCTAGAAGGGCCCCTTATTGTCTTTCATGCCTTCTTCCTCAAGCTGTTTCTCCCATATTCAATGTTCTCTCACAGTATCTGCATCTAAAACCTTGGTGTAAGGTTTTCAAAGGTCATTTCCTCTGTGTAGCCTTTTCTGGTTCTTCCCCTGTAGACCTTAAGAGAAACTGGCTCTTCCTTCTCAGCAATTTCTTAATATTTTTTCTGTACTGCTGTTATTGTACTGTTATTTCTGTGCTCATGTTACCACTAAACTCTAAAACTCCCTGCAGAAAGGGTAAATTCCTATGATGTGGTTATTAAGCAGTTAAATTTTGGAGCCATACTGACGTGGGATTTTTTTAGGCTTTTTTGTTTGGTTGGTTGGTTTGTGTTTTTGTGTGTTGGTTTGCTCCATCAACTTTGCTCATTGACTCAATGACCTCGGGGGATTTTCTTAACTTCAATGAGATGCATGTGTAAAATGGGGAAACTAATATTTACCTCAAAGGTCATTTGGAGCATCAGGTGGCTACGTGTGAAGTGCCTGGAATTGCTTACGGAGTTAGCGTTGAATACAGGAAAAGACACTGTTGCTGTTTATATTCTAACCACACCACACTACTCTCCTCTTCAAAAGTAAAAGCCAAAAGTATTTTTGAATGGATGAATGGCTAATCAACGTTTTAAATGAAGCTGGTCTCCTCTATAATATTGTACTTGGTTCTATACCACGTCTCTGCTCCTCTCTCTCCGAAACAGTGTATATGATGTATCATTATTAAATATGGTCATTTAAGATGGTAACCCTCCCATTAGCAACTTGGAAACTTGAATTTACTTCTAACAAAATGCAGCTATCACAAAACTTTTTCTGACCCCTGTTTTGTAAGCTTTCAAAACAATATAATTGTATTAAAATTGCTTCTTTAAAGATAAAGTTGCATATCAGAATTTTTTTGGCCCACCCTATCTATCATACAGCTACGTAACAGTAAACTGATAATATACAAACATAGCTTCTGGAAAAGATGAATTAGGCCATTAAAATGTACAAAGTGGCTGGTTGTGGTGGCTCATGCCTGTAATCCTAGCACTATGGAAGGCCAAGGTGGGAAGATCCCTTGAGGCTGGAAGTTTGAGGATGTGGTGAGCTATGATGAAACCACTGTACTGTAACCCAGGCAACCGAGCAACAGAGCGGAGACCTTATCTCAAAAAATAAAAAATAAAAAAGGCTCATGCCTGTAATCCTAGCCCTGTGGAAGGCCAAGGCCAGAGGATCCCTTGAGTCCAGGAGTTTGAGGTCGCAGTAAGCTATGATGAAGCCTCTGTACTGTAGCCCAGACAACAGAGCAACAGAGAAAGACCCTATCTCAAAAAAAAAAAAAAAAAAAATGTGAAAAAGCATTAAACCCTCAAAAGATGAAAGAGGAATTGAGCAATTATTAAATAAAAGTGATTAACAATCAGTTAGGATAAACTATTTCAAATGACTTGGTTCCCAGTAAATGGTTTATAATATGTATATGTGACCAGAAACAACCCTGGCAATCTGCTTATCCCCTACACTCAATACCACCTGCTCTGTGCTGTATTTTCTGCAATTCTGTCTGTATTCCATGGACTCTAAAAATGCTTCTGACATTCCTCATGGGAACAAGGCACTCAAATTTTATTTCTTATAATATGATTGATTTATATGTAACATAAATTCCTATAATAAATAATATGCAATAATTACATATTGTCATAAATAATATATAACAATGTGGGCAGTGCCTGTGGCTCAGTGGGTAGGGCGCCAGCCCCATATGCCAAGGGTGACTGGTTCAAACGCGGCCCGGCCAAACTGCAACAAAAAAACAGCCAGGCATTGTGGCGGGC